CAGCTTCAATCATGTAGGAAACTCTACATCTCTCCACCCCTTTATGTTGATTCACAAATTACTTCCTTATATATTATCCATTAAAGTTGTCTTTGGTTATTTTTCTTTTAAATTTTATACCGAATTAAAACTGATTTACACAACATTATAGCACTACAGGATCCTGTATTTGCCTCTTTACCAGAGAGCTTTTTATTTCTGCATGCTTTCATGTTGCTAAAATTTTTTTTTCAATTAAAAGGACTCCTTTAACACTTCTTGTAAGGCACATCTAATGGTGATGAATTTCTTCAGCTTTTGTTCATCTGGAAAATTCTTTTACTTCTTCATTTGTGAATTATAGTTTTGCTGGATAGTATTAATTTCCAGGTATTTTTTTTCTCTTAGCAATTTGAATGTATTATTCCACTCCCTTCTAGCCTCTAAGGCAGGGGTGTCCAAACTGTGGCCTAGCCTGCATGTGGCCCAGGGTGGCTATAAATGCAGCCCAACACAAAATCATAAATTTACTTAAAACATTGAAATTATTTTGTGATTACATGTTGCAGTGTCACGTAAAATAAGTGTACGTATGCTCTTCTTCTTCCAGTGTGGGCCAGATATGCCAAAAGGTCACAGACACCCCTGCTATAAGGTTTTTGCCGATTATCTTAATGGGAGCTCACCTGTATGTGATAAATCACTTTTATTACTTTAAGATCCTCTTTGTCTTTCACTTTAGACAATTTTTTTATTATAAGGTGTTCTGAGTGTGAGGCTGTGCAAATTCATTCTACTTGGAATCCTTTGAGCTTCTCAAATTTAGATGTCCATTTCCTTTCTCAGATTAAGGATGTTTTTAAAAAGCCCTTATTTTTTCCAATAAGTTGTGCTTTTTCTTCCCCTTTTCCTTCTGGGACTGTCATAATGCATAAATTGGTACATTTTATGCTGTTTCATAGGGTTCCTTAGGCTTTCTTCATTTTTCTTTTTTTATTCCTTTGACTTGATAATTTCAATAATCAGAATTGTTGATTCTTTCGTTTGTTTAAATCTGTTAATCCCCCAAATTTAAAATTATTATTGTATTCTCTTACTTTACTTTATTCAATTTTTTCCCATAACCATTTAGTCCCCTCATAGCCCCCTCCCCCCAGCCAGTTATTGCATTCTTTAGCTTAAGACTTTCTGTATGGTATTTTTATAGTTTCTCTTTGTTGATATTTTGTTTATGCATTATTGTCCTAATTTCACTTAATTGTGCTCCCTTGTAAATCATTGTGCTTCTTTAAGACAATTAAATTCTTTGTAATGTTATTCACAGATCTCCATTTCCTTGGGATTCATTTCTGGAGTTATTTTGTTCCTTTAATTGAGCTGCTTCTGTCTTTCCTTCTGCCTTGATTGTTTTGCTTCACCAATCAGCCTAGTTAGATTCTGGGGTTCCCTGAAGCTCTTTGCAGAATGCAATTTCTCTGGGCTCATGTATATTTCTCAATTAGAGGGGTCTGAAGATTTCTTTATCAGGAGCTCATAATCTCTTGCTCCCTGTGCAGTCTGTGACACTGCTGGTTCTCCAGTGCTGCAGCAGCAAGGTGCTACTCTCTTGTTCTCAGTGATTTCCAGGCACGCAAAATATGCCAGGTTCCCCATCCCCAAGTCAGATGAGACAGACATCAGTACTTTGACTAAAGCTCTGAAAAGCTGAAATGTTGGACCCACATTTTATCCTTCTCTTTCCCTGATGTTGGAGCTCCAAGTGGGTGACTTCCCGACTGCGCAGAGCTGTGCTGGCCTGCGGCACTGCAGGCTCTCTAGGGCTGTAGAAAGACATTCCCACTCTCCCTTGCTTTCAGTGGCCGTCAGATATCTAATATATGTCAATTTTGTGAGCATTGATTCAAGTCAACGCTCAAGTGAAGCTTCAAGTCAGTGAAGACAGGAACTAGTATCTCCCCAGCAGCCTCCTAAAAAGCTGGAATATTAATGCACACCTCAATCTTTGTTCCCTGCCACCTCAAGCCATAAGCTGATGGTTTTTGCCTAATCATGTTCATTTGTCTGCTTAGGGGAGGGGCAATTCTGAGTAAAATGAAACAACTGTTCTTATCCACTCCAATGGAGCTATTTTCTACTCTGTGCTCTCCTGTGGTAGTACAACTTTTAAACTGGTTTCTGGACTTCTCATAAAGGTATTTTGGTTGAAATTTTTTTTTAATTTTTAAAATATTTATTGATTTTAGCGTGAGAAACAAACATTTTGTTCCAATAACTTTTGCATTCATTGGTTGCTTTTTGTATGTGCTCTGACCGGGGATTGAATCGGTGTCCTTGGCATATCACCATGGTCAGGCTCTAACTAACTGAGCCACCCTACCAGGGTGGTCCATATACTACTGATAAGTTGGTATATCTATGGGGAATGAGGGCTGGGACTTCCTATCCCACCATCTGAGTGCCATCAACTCACTTTAATATTTTAACCACAAGAGAAACAGAAACAGGCTATGGAACATAGAATAATTTATGTATCACAAATAAATGACTTATGAAGTACTACAAAATAGGGTTGTACCCTATTAATATTATACTGTATTTTTCAGACTATAAGACACACACCCCCAAAATTGGGAGGAAAAGGGTGATGCATCTTATAGTCCAAATGTAGCTTACCTGGCTCACTGTGGGTGGGGAGGGCGGGGGTGGCAGTGGAGCAGAGGTCACAGGAGGCAGGAGCAGGGTTGCCGCTGCATTTTCCTCTCAAATCAGGGGAGGGCGGGGGAGCGAAGTGCATCTTACAGTCCAAAAAATATGGTAAGCCCTTGTTTTACAGATGCAGAGTTAACACAGCCAAATAGCAGATGTTTAAGATCATGTGTAAAAAAACTGACTGCTATGCAGTAGGGCACTCAAAACGGAAAACTATTTTATTTCTTTATTAAATTCCTTTGAGATGGGAAAATTATTCTAGATTATTGTGTCGCACCCATCACACAAGGTTCCTTATAAGTAAAGAGGGAGAAAAGGGCCATGAGCCAGAAGAACAGCTTCTAACAGCTGGAAAGGGGTAGGAAACTGATTCTCTGGTCTCCAGAGCAGAGACCTGTTAACACTTTGAGTACAGTGAGATCTATTTTTGGACTCCTGACTTCCAGAACTATAAGGTAATAAATTTGTATTGTTTTTAAGCCACTTCAGTTTGTAGTAATTTATCACAGCAGAAATAGGAAACTAATATAGAAATCTGAGTTAAAAAACTAAAAAGACATTTCACAGAATTACTTAGGAAATATTTTATTGTACAAAATTTACATTTGTTGCATATGATGAAAACCACAGCAACAACTAGCTTTTGCTAATTCATTTTTTTCTGTGAAAAGTAAGGATTATTTTCTGATACACTAGATAATACAGCTTTTTATACAAGTTGTTTAACAGTTTTGGGGACACAGCTGTCTTAGGATATAAGGTATAAAACTAAAAACAGATCAAAAAAGCGCAGGGGGATGACCACTGCCAAAGAGTAATTTCCAAGAACTTGGCATTTTCCATGGCAAGGCAGATGCTGTGGGGTCATCACACTGTAACTAAAGAACAGAATATTTTAATCATTCACCTTTACCACCAAATCACCTTTTAACATGTAATTATTACAAAACCTTCCCTTCTCTAGTTAGTTTTTGGTTCCTTTCGGTTCTGACACATTTAGCTGGGTTTTACTGTATGAAAAAAACAAAAATAATAAATTTCTATGTCTTTTATGTCAATCTAAATTTCTTTAAGTTTCAATCATAAAGATATGCCAGAAAGTCTGTGGATAGATTCTGTCAAGTAAATTCAAAAGGAATAGGTGGCACACAAAAAGCCCGTGGGCCAAATACGGCCCTCCACCTTGTTTTATCTGGCCTGGCACCTTGTTTCTATCCAGCAGCAGTGCCAAGCTCCTTGCCCCCTGTTAAGGAATAGTTACATTTATACAGTCCTAAAATTACATTTGGCCCTTTGAATGCAACTGTGAGGTTGATGTGGCCCACAGTGAGAATGAGTTTGACACCCTTGGAATAGGGGTTATAAAAAAAAAAAATCAGTGCTGCATGAGTGTATCAATTTGTTCTTAGCAAAAGCATGAATAAAAAAGACAGTTACCACCCCGGCCAGGTGGCTCAGTTGGTTGAAGCATCATCCCATGCACCAAAAGGATGCAGGTTCATTTCCCACTCAGGGCGCATACCTAGGCTGCATAACTAATCCCCAGTTGAGGTGTGTATGGAAGTCAGCCAATCAATGTTTATCTCTCACATCGATATTTCTCTTTCTTCTCTCTCTCTCTCTCTCTTCCCTTTTACTTCCTCCCTTCCCCTTTTCTCTAGGATCAATAAATATATTCTAGGTGAGTATTAAAAAAAAAAAAAGACAGCCCTGGCTGGTGTGGCTCAGTGGACTGAGTGCCAGACTGCAAAGCAAAGAGTCAATGGTTGATTCACGTGCCAGGGTTGAGAGCCAGATCCCCAGAAGGGGGTGCATGAGAGGCAACCATACACCAATATTTCCAACCCTCTCTTTCTCCCTCCCTTCCCGTCTGTGTAAAAATAAATAAAATCTTTTTTTAAAAAGACAATTATTTCATAATAGAGAAATATATTAATTATAATGCATATTTAATAGCTACAGTATTGCCACATAGCACAATACCTTTTGTTTCTTTTAAAAAATTCTAATTTCCAAAGTACTTGTTTATTCTTATAAAAAGCTGTCTGGTATAAATGCAACATGAACAATGAATATAATGAAGTATTTAAGATTTTTCTTTTTTGGAAATTAACCTTAATGAAACAACTGTAGACAATAGGTTGGTTAACTGCCCCCTTTTCCTAAGTTCTGCTAAACTAAATTTTAAGTATAGATATGTTTATACTCAACATGAACTTTTACTTATTTGGTCTACTTACATAGCATATAAAATACAAGTTTATGAATACATAACTAGAAAAATCAGAGGCTTAAGCTGTAGGAAAACTTACATGTGGTTTGATTATCTGAAGCCATTCATTAAGATACTCAACAAGACCTAATGCATCTGGGATATTGTCTCCTTCTGAAACAAATTTCAGCAGAACCGCCACTGGGATTTCTTTAGAACAGCTACAACAAATTAAAAAAAAAAAAAAAAGAAAAGTATTCTCCTGATACAAGATTCTGATTCCAGAGTTGTTTTTACAGTTAGGACAATCTTCCAGGTTTTAGGCAAGGAGAAGATGCCCCATCATGAGATCACTTCTTATTCATCTCCCTTGCCCCAGATATTATTCTGTTTATAGAGACAGGACTAGAAGCCATGTAATGCCCACCCCAGGTATATGCAAATTTGTGCCTCACACCAATGCTACATGAAAAATGACCCCTGTATCCTTGGGTATAGAACATAAGGTGAGTTCTGACCTACTTCCAAAACCTACTGTACAAACAGCTATTTTCTGAAGTAACACAGCAAAGAGACTGAAAGATATACCTTATTCTAAAACAGTGAAGGAAAACCCTTACTATTACTTCTTACATTTATTGAGTGATTATTATGCGCTAAGCAATGCCTGCACATTTTACGAGTCAATCACTACAACGATCATTAAGAAAGTTATAAATTTATTTGTTTAATAAATTAATCAGTTTGGAATAATGGGAACAAGAGCAGAATACCTGGATTCATATTCTAGATCTGCCACTTAGCAGATAGTTGGGCAAGTTACTTAATCAAGGCTTTACGTATTCCTCATATGTAAAAGAGGAATCACAATAGAACAGACTCATAGGTGGTTGTGAAATTTAAAGGTCGTTGTGATGGCAAAGTGCTTAAAATAGTGCCCATAATTAATGTTAGCAATTAATTTTGAAGTAACTGAGGTTTATAGAGATTTTAATATAGTTAACATGCTCAAACTTCTTCATCTAGGAAGTGGCAGAAGTGGAACTTGAATATGGTCTTTCTGACTCCAAAACATGATTCCTGTTATACTATAGATGCCTCAAGTTAGTAAGGAGACCAATGCAAAAAGCTTCCTGTTTGCCAACAAAAGCAAAAATCATTTCTAACACCCTGAATCCAAGTACCATGAGAAAAATGACACCACAACTTGAGAGCACATGACTGACAGAGAGATACAGAAGTAAAGGTGAGTTGGGCTCCTCATCTGGATTTAAGATGTGGAGGAGACTCTTGACATGTGGGTTCAAAAGTCTCAGATGTATAGGGAGAGCCTATCATAGCATTTCAGTCTCTAAATATTATAAAGTGGAATTATCACTAATTATACCATCTCAGTACATAGTTCTAAAATATCTTAGGGACACTTTGGCTTTGTATGGAAGTACTGTGGGCTGTGATGGCTCAGAAGATTCTAGTTCCTAAATGCTCATGCTATAATAGCCTGAGAAATGGCTCATACCTAGAGAAACCTAGCCACGCTGGCTGTACCTTCACTTTAGCGACTGTGGCTTAAAAAAATGTTAGGGCATGGTCTTGAATTTACAGTGCCTCACACTACTACTTTGTAACACAAATGGCAGAGTAATAGTTTTAATACTATCCTCTCTGTTCCTCTCTGTAAAAAAAAAAAGACGGTAGAGAGTGACTAATTTTATCACTTTCTGTGACATTAAAATCTAACATGAGATATATCCATTATTAAATTTCAAAAGTACTTCTATTCCAATTAAATACAGGAGTGGGCAAAAGTAGGTTTACAGTTAGTTGCTGGTATGGAAAATAATACAATAATAAATAACAGTATAAGAATAAATTCTGCGGTTCACATACTTACAACTGTATACCTACCTTTGCCCACCCCTTGTATCTTTGCCCACCCCTTGGGATCTCAGGTCAATCACACCCCTTGGGATCTCAGGTCAATCACATCACTGCCACCATTTATTATTAGAATAATATTGTCATTTCCAGAGATCAGAATATAAATTTGTTCTGCTAATGAGAAGGCAAAATATATCACGAAATATTTAGCAAATAATCAAAATATGCACTGGGGAGAAAAGGGGATTCAAAATTGTATAAGCCACATGATTTCTTTTCAATTTCAAAAATTCTTTATTGCAATGAATGTATAATTGCATTGAACATTAAACATGGGTTTGGTTATAGACGAATAAGAGAAAATTGATTTTGGGAGAAACATCTTCAGATAAGATGAACTGTAAAGTTATAGATGTTTTACAGTATCTTGTAGATATATATATTCAACTCAACTATATTTTAAAGAAGTTGGGAAAAATATCAAAAACCTATTACTGGCAGTTATTTCTGGGTGACATAATTGAGTTTTTAAAGTGTTGTTTCTTTTGACTATTCCACATATAATGAGTATGTCTAACTTTTATAACAGTTTTTGTTAATACTGCTAACTTACAATATTTTCTGATATTGTTGCTAAGTTTATGCCTAACCAGAAGATCCCTGTCTGGCCTCAAGTTTCACCCTACATATGTGATGCTCAGAACTCAGAAAAAAAACTAAGAGAGATTCCCAACACTCTTCTTTTACATAGCTCCCACCTTTCTGGTTCTCTGCCTTGTATTTTCCAGTTGTCTCAGACTTCCAGAAGTCTGAAGTCTTATTTCCTCAACTCAGCAAGACTGCAGTGCTCCACCTGGATTCCCTCCCCCAACCTGTATGATAGTCCAGAAAGTGTCTCTAAGCAGAAAGCTGGGATAATTTAGAATCAAACCATGTATCAGTACAAAAAACCAGCAAGGCACAAAAGACGACAGTAATGGAGGAAATGAAGAACAAAAATGCTTTAGGACATACAGAAAACAAATAGCAAAATGACAGAAGTCCTTATTAGCCCTGGCTGGTGTGACTCAATCAACTGAATACTGGCCTCTGATTCACAGGGTCACCAGTTCAATTCCCAGTCAGGGCACAGGCCTGGATTACAGGCCAGGTCCCCAGTTAGAGGTGTGCAAGAGGCAACCACACATCAATGTTTCTCTCCCTCTCTGTCTCCCTCCCTTCCCCTCTCTCTAAAAATAAATTAATTTTTTAGAAGAAGTCCTTATCAGTAATCATTTTTAATGCAAATGGGTTAACTTTGGAAGGATGGATAGAAACACATGATCCAAATATATGCTGTCTAAAAGAGTTTTACTGAAGATCTAAGGACACAAAATTTGAAAGTGAAAAGATGGAAAAAGATATTCCATACAAATAGTAACCCAAGAGAACAAGATTGCTACTCTAATATCAGACAAAATAGATTTCAAGTCAAAAACTGTTATAAGAGATAAAAATACATATATTGGCAAAAGGATCAATTCATCAAGAAGATTAAACAAATGTAATTCAATGACACTAGAAATTAACAGAAGGAACACTGGAAAATTCACAAATATGTAGAAATTAAACACATTCTCAAACAACCAATGGATGAAAGAAGAAATCAGAAGGGACTTAGCTTAAGAATTCTATTACATTTGCAGAAAATAAAATCACAAGAGAACGTAGAAAATACTTAGAGATGAGTGAAAATAAAAACACACATACTAAACTTAAATATAGCCAAAGCAGTGCTAAGAGGGTAATTTGTAGCTGTAAATGCACATACTATAAAAGAAATTTCTCTAATGAATAACCTAAGTTTGCATCTTAGGAACTAGAAAAAGAAGAACAAACTAAATCCAAAGCTAGTAGGAAGAAGAAAATAATAAAGATTAGAGTGAAGATAAATAAAAGAGAGAACAGAAAAACAATAGAGAAAATTCAATAAACCAAAAGCTAGTTATTTGAAAAGATAAAAAAAATTGACAAATGTGCCCTGGTTGGTGTGTCTCAGTTGGTTGGAGCGTCATCCCATACACCTAAAGGTTGGGGGTTCGGTTCCCAGTCAGGGCACACACTTACATTGCTGTTTCAACCCCAGGATGGTATGTATAGGAAGCAACCAAGTGATGTTTCTGTATCACATTGATGTTTCTCTCTTGTTTCTCTTGCTTCCTCTCTCTCTCCCTGCTCCTCCCCACCTTGCTCTCTCTCTCTCTCGAATCAATAAACATTTGTTAAAAAAATTAACAAATGTTTAGCTAGAATAACTGAGAATGAAAGAGAGGACTCAAATTACTAAAATCAGAAAGTGAGAACATTATTGATTTTACAGAAATAGGAGTTATTAATTAGACAGATTTTCTATTTAGAATGATGACAATGTTCTGAAAGTATGAATATATTTAATACTAATTGATTGTACACTTAAAAATGGTTAATTTATGCATATTTTACCACAAATAAAAAAAAGATTATAGAGGTTGCATAGAACAAGCATCACCATTCCTAATAGCCACACACAATAGAGCACTGAATACGGCTTCTCAGGAGCCCATTCTCCTATAGCCAAATTTCAATCTTTCCTCTGATTGTAATTTTTATTTTATAAATATATTTTCAAAGTTCCAATAAGTAACCCAACACACTCTCCCAATTATCATTCTCTCATTTTAAAATAAGGCAGGGAACAAATGAACAAACAGGCTAACAAACTCACCCTTCATCATAGAGTGTTTTTGTGATACCTCCACCAGGTACACGGATACAAAACTCAGAATCACGTATTTCAGGAATGCATGGGCTTTTTTCCATTTCTTCCCAATTAAGGCTCTTTATTTTATTTTCAACACTTTTTTGCATGGAAGGTGTAAGTAGGTATCTGAAAGGTGTACTAGAAACAATTACATAATTAACTTTCTAAAAACTCACAGATATAAACATCAAGGCAAAAACCAGTTCTTTTAGCAAAAATTATCTTGTTTTCTACATATTCTACTGTGCAAGGCAAACACAAGTTTTAGCAGTCTATGGAAGAACGACACAAAAAATATTGCTCTGACTTGCTACTTACATACTTGGGAAAGACAGTAAAGAAATAGGAAAATTTAAACTAAAGCAAGGCCATAATGAAGATGAATCTATTTTCCACAGCTATGTTCCCTTCTGACTGTAATGCCAATTGTGAGATTCTTAGAAATTAGTTCCAGTTTTGAAGGCTACTCTTGGCTGATATTTTTCATCATGATTTTATAGGTGCATAAATGATAATGCAATAAAATAGATTATATTTTTATCTTTTGGATACTTTGTCATGTTTAAGAATACAGTCTGACATGCCTAGGAGTTATATTTAAAGGCAACTGGATTTCTACAAATACAAATGGTTGAACATATGGAAATATATAGAAATATCAATCCAAATCTTTCAAAAATTATCAACCAATAAACTAGGTACCCTTTCTTTTCTTTCTTTTCGTAGCTGAGCTCTGTGATGTTGTCATGCACAATATCAACAAAGAACAGTTCCAAAACCATTTCTATCTTTACACCAAAGCCTTCCTTTTGCCCCAACTATAGAACTAAGATTCTATCTAACTGTGCTCCCTCCTATCTCTTTTCTTTTACCTTCTTCTTTCTAAATTTGAGGGAGGAGCAGTAAGGATATACGTGGCTTTTAAAACTTATTTCAACTTTTAGACATTTATTTTCTTTTTTATTGAATTTATTGGGGTGAAATTGGTTAATAAAATTATATAGGATTCAAATCATCATCTATATATTATATTGTGTTAACTACCCTACGTCAAGTCTCTTTCCATCACCATTTACACCCCATTCCCTCTTCTATTTGTCCTCAACCCCCTGTCCTCTTTCCCTCTGGTAATCATCACACTGTTACCTGTATCTATTAGGATTTTTTTTTTCTTAATCCATTCACCTTTTTTCACCCAGCCCTGCAACTCCCCTCCCCTCTGATATTTTAACTTTTTAATATATAAATCATAATACTGTATAATCATAACAAAAATATTTTTTCAAAGGCAAAACATACCTGCGAAGCTGTAGATCATTACGATGATATGAATGACTGCTTGAAAGAACAATAACTTTGGCACAGTTACTACTTTTCACCCAGGAAAGCAGTTTTTCACAGAATGGCTTTGACTTATACTTTGCATACATTGAAAGAAAAAGAAAATCTAAAAGTCAGATCTTAAAGTATATTGGGAGTATTGTATATAATATTTCATCAACTTTATGTGATGACAATTTAAATATACTAAAATTGGAATTATTTTTAGATCCACTTACTGTCCTTAAAGTGAAGGTGAAAAATGAAAAGCAATGAATTATCTATATAGTTACAATTAAGAAATAAATTGTGAGAAATCTAGATTTTTTAAAAAAGTTCTATTTTGACTGACAAATTTCCTAGTATTTTAAGTGATCCATTATTACTAAAAATGACCACATGGTCATTTATGAGATGTTCCTGCTAGTTGCAACATGTGAACCTTGAATGGATCCAGAATTGAAGGATATTTTGAAGACAGGGAAATTTGAATATGTTGGATGATACTACTGAAAAATTCATTAAATGCTGATTTTCTTAGGTGTGGTAATGGTGTTGTGGTTGTGAAGAATAATGTTCTTGTTCTTGAAAGATGTGCTGAAGTATTTAGGGGTGACATATGATGTCACTAGCCTATTTTTGAATTGTTTAGCAAAAGTAAACTGTGCAGAGAGAGAGAATCAAGTAGGTATAGCAAGATGTTAAACTGCTTGGTTAATGTGGAATATAGGTTATAAAATTATGAGGAGGTCCTGGCCAGTGTGGCTCAGTTGGTTAGAGTGTCACCCTGTGTACTGAAAGGTTGTGGGTTTGATTCCTGGTCAGGGCACATACCCAGGCTATGGGTCTGATCCCCAGTGGAGGCACATAAAAGAAGGCAACCAATAGATGTTTCCTTCCCAACTCTCTCTCTCTTCCCAACCTCTCTAAAAACAATGAAAAAGGTCCTTGGGTAAGGATAAGAAGAAAAATTAAAATTATGAGGGAGAAACTCACTTTATGGAAGCTCTTTTCACAGATGGTTAATGAAATAATTATTCAATAAAATTTAAAATGCAGGTAAAAATGGCTAAATTTTAAAAATAGGAGTGTGGCATAGTGTAATGGTTAAGTGAGGCTGACTGTAGAGTCAGGTTGCCTGGTCTAGAATGCTGGCTTCACTTCCCACAGACTACATATCTCAAACTGCTTAACCTTTTGGTTTTAGTTTTCACATTTGAAAAATGAGGATAACGTTAGTACCTGCCTCATACGATTATTGTAAGGATTAAGTAGAGTGATTACAACAGTATTGGTATGAAGTATCAATGCTCAATAAATGTTTGCTACTTTGAAATCACACTTTATTTCCATATACCAAAAATTTCAATGAAAAGTATTTGAATTATCTATCTTAATTCTTGAACTTACAGATATTAGTGTGAACAAAAAAGTGAACCAAGAAGCCATGTGACAAATGTAAAAACACTAGCAACTCTTACTGCAAAATGATATTATTAACTAAACAAAGTAAAGAATGATCCTAATCTAAGTATTAACATAATCACAGCACCCTGGCTGGTGTGGCTCAGTAGATTGAGTGCCAGCCTGCAAACCAAAGGGTCACTGGTTTGATTCCTAGTCAGAGAACATGTCTGGATTACAGGCCAGGTCCACAGTAGGAGGTGAGCAGAGTCAACCATACACTAATGTTTCTCTCCCTTTCTCTCTCTCAAAAAAATAAATAAATAAAATCTTAAAAAATATATAATCATAACACTACTCATGATAGCCTGAGACTGAAAAAATACCAAATGCTCCATTAACACTACAATGACTAAATCATGATTTATTTACACAGGAGCATCCTACACAGAAGAACAAAGTTCCTCTGCCTGCAACAACATAAATGAGCCTCACAAATTGAATGCTGAGTAAAGAAAGCTAGACATAAAAAAGTACATACACACAAGAGTCCATTCATATAATGGTATAATAACTAGGATGGGGAAAGGGGGAGGGACTCTGGAATGTTGATAAATTTCTGACCTCCTAAACAGATGGTACCTTAATGCATTCAAAATTTATTGAGAGCTTCTCTATATGCAAAGCACTACTTTAGATACTGGGGATATCAGTGAATGACACGTTATCACTTCTCTCAAGGAACTGACTTTCTATTAGAAGTAGATAATAAACAGAAAATACTTCTGACTTCCATTAAGATGGAGGTGTAGGTAAAGGAGGCTCGCATCCTCTCACAACCACAACAAAATTACTGATCTGTATGGAAGTCTGGCAACTAAGGAATTAAAGAAACCTCATTCATCCACACACACAGGAGGGACGGAGGGACTGAGGGGCAGAGAATTGAAATTGGCTGGTTCCGAACCACATGTGGTGGATATAAAATGGAGGCATATGGCCAAGAGCGAGGGATCCCAGTCCACAGCCCAGGGTTCAGGTGCCAGGATGGTAAGTCCCCATAACTTCTGGCTATAAAAACCAGTAGGAGTTTGGTCAGCAGAAGAAATTGCAGGATTCTCAGACCTCTCCTCTTAAGAACCTCACACCACAGGTGGACTTACTCAGACTCATTCCCTCTGGGCTCCAGCAATGGATCAGCAGCTTGAAGGGCACCAGTGGCATACTGGGAGTAACTGAAGTGTCTGGCACCATGGGAGGAACTGGGGGACAGCTTTCTCCTACACAGAACTGCAGACAGCAGACACTGTACCTTTGTTGAGCTCTCCCCTCCACAGAGCCGCAGTGCAGCTACACCGTATCTGAATCTCCATCAACCTGGCTGACTTGGGAAGTCTTGCCCTGCCCCATCCCACTTATGGCCCACCCAGGTAACTCTCCTACCCTGGTTACAATAGCTTTTGCATATGAAGAGCTGGGCTAGGCACAGGTTTCAGACCTTCCTTTATCCCCTCAAACAAGCAACAGCTGAGCCCAGCCCCCATACCTCCTCTTGTTGAGTGGCCCCAGGACCCCCACTTGCAGCAGCCATCTGCAGATCACTTCAGAACTTATGCCTAGGGGCCACTGACAGAATGCAGTTGGAGCCTGACCTTGGCCTGCACTACGAGGAGAAACCCCAGAGCCAGTGCACCCAGTGGACAGTTACAGAGCACAAAGGAACACAACCTAACTACCTCCAAAAGTCACAGAGGGAGGTGGCTGACGGCCAGGGGTCACAGCCAGTCCTACCAGCTATCTGAACTGGGTAAATCCCTCTCACTGACTTGCCAACAGTAATCAAGACTCATCTACAAGAGGAGGGAATACTTGGACCACACAGAGGAAGCACCTTGAGTACGCAGCTTGGAAGATACAGGACGCTGTGCCACTGGACCCTACAGGACACCTACTACATTAGGCCATGCTACTAAGACACGGAGTCAAAGCAGCTCTACCTAATACATAGAAACAAACACAGGGAGGCTGCCAAAATGAGACAAAGAAATATGGCCCAAATGAAAGGACAGAACAAAACTCCACAAAAAGAACTAAACAAAATGGAGATAAGCAATCTATCAGATACTGAGTTCACACTGGTTATAAGGATGCTCAAGGGACACAGTGGATACACTTCAACAGTATAAAAAAGATCCAGGTAGAAATAAAGAATACACTAACTGAAATAAAGAACAACTTACAGGGCGTCAACAGTTGAGTGGATGAAGCCAACAATCAAATCAATGACATGAGGGAAAAATCCAGGCCAAGATGGAGATGTAGGTAGACACACTGTGCCTCCGTGCACAACCAAAATAAGGACAACAAAAATTTAGAAACAAAAAAACCACCAGTACTGACAGAAAATTGAACTGCATGGAAGTCCCACAACCAAGGAGTTAAAATAGGCACATTCATCCAGACGGGTGGGAGGGGTGGAGTTGGGCCACGGGGAGGAGAGGGGTCGTGGCAAAAAAAGCAGTGGCTGGTGGACCCTGGGCACAGGGTAGCAGCAGGCGAACCCAGTGAGGCAGCGGATTGTGGACGGGCGCAGCACGCAAGGTGGCTGATGACAGACCAGGCGGTCCAACATTCACACACAGAAAAACCAGGCAAAACTGGGTAGCAAGACAGACTGAGCAACCCAGGGCTCCATTGCTGGGAAATAAAGCCTCAAACCACTGACTGAAAACACCTGTGGAGGATGAGGTGCTGGGAGAAACTCCCAGCCTCACAGGAGAGTTCGTTGGAGAGACCCACAGGTTCCTAGAATGTACACAAGCCTACCCACATGGGAATCAGCACCAGAAGGGCCCAGTTTGCTTAGCGGAAGCAGCAGAAGGGACTGAAATCCAGCAGAGAGTAGAGCAAGTGCCATTGCTCCCTCTTGACACCTCCCCCACAAACAGCATCACACCCAAGGCTCTGCCCTTCACTATGAAACAGGCGTGCCAAGACAAAAAGGCCCAAATGAAAGAACAAATCAAAGCCCCAGAACAAATACAACTAAGAGACGAAGAGACAGCCAGCCTATCAGATGCACAGTTCAAAGCACTGGTGATCAGGATGCTCACAGAATTGGTTGAATTTGGTCACAAATTAGATGAAAAAATGAAGGATATGCTAAGTGAAATAAAGGAAAATGCACAGGGAACCAATAGTGATGGGAAGAAAACTGGGACTCAAATCAATGAAGTGAACCAGAAGGAAAAAAGAAACATCCAATCAGAAAAGAATGAAGAAACAAGAATTCAAAGAAATGAGGCTTAGGAACTTCCAGGACATCTCTGAACATTCCAACATCTGAATTATAAGTGTACCAGAAGGGGAATAGGAAGAGCAACAAGTGGAAAAGTTATTTGAACAAATAACGAAGGAGAACTTCCCCATTCTGGCAAAGGAAATAGATTTCCAGGAAGTCCAGGAAGCTCAGAGAGTCCCAAAGAAGTTGGACCCAAGGAGGAACACACCAAGGCACATCATAAGTGCCCAAGACTACCCAAGATTAAAATGAAGGAGAGAATTCTAGAAGCAGCAAGAGATAAGGAGGCAGTTTCCTACAAAGGAGTTCCCATCAGACTGTCAGCTGATTTCTCAAAAGAGACCAGTCTTTACAGGCTGGAAAGAAGTATTTCAAGTCATGAAAGGCAAGGACCTACATCCCAGATTGCTCTATCCAGCAAAGCTTTTGTTTGGAACGGAAGGGCAGATAAAGTGCTTCTCAGATAAGGTCAAATTAAAGGAGTTCATCATCACCAAGCCCTTATTTTATGAAATGTTATAGGGACTTATCTAAGCAAAAGAAGATAAAAAACATGTATAGTAAAATGACAGCAAACTCACAATTATTAACAACCACACCTAAAACAAAAACAAACTAAGCAAACAGCTACAACAGGAACAGAACCACAGACATAAAGATCACATGGAGGGTTAGCAAAAGGGGAGTGGGAGGAGGAGAGAGGGGGGAAAAGGTACAGAGAATAAGTAGCATAGATGGTAGGTAGAAAATAGACAGGGGGAGGGTAAGAATAGTATGGGAAATGTAGACGCTAAAGAACTTATAAGTATGACACATGAACATGAACTAAAGGTGGGGGAATGTGGGTTGAAGAGGGTGTGCAGGGTGGAGGGGAGTGAAGGGGGGAAATGGGACAACTAGAATAGCATAATCAGTAAAATATATTTAAAAAAAAGAACATAAGGGAAAAAAAGACATCCAGTCAGAACAGCAAGAAGAAAAAAGAATAAAAAAAATCAAGGATAGTGTAAGGAGCCGCTGGGACTATTTCAAACATTCCAATATTCGCAGCATAAGGATGCCAGAAGGGGAAAAGAGCAAGAAATTAGAAACCTAGTTGAAAAAAATAATAAAAAGAAAACTTCCTAATTTGGTGAAGGAAATAAGACATACATATCCAGGAAGTACAGAGAGTCCCAGAAAAGATGGATGTAAAGAGGCCCACACCAAGACACAACATAAACGCCAAAGGTTAAAGACAAAGAGAGAATCTTAAAAGCAGCAATAGAAAAGCAGTTAGTTACCTGCAGGGGAGTTCCATAAGACTGTCAGCTGACTCCTCAAAAGAAACTGCAAACTAGGAGGAACTGGCAAGAAGTATTCAAAGCAATGAAAAACAAGGACTTACAACCTGGATTACTCTATCCAGCAAAGCTATCATTTAGAATCAGAGGGCAGATAAAGTGCTTCCCAGACAAGGTAAAGGTAAAAGAGTTCATCATCACCAAACCATTATTATATATTAAAGGGATTTATTTAAGAAAAGGAAATCAAAACTATGAGCATTAAAATGGTGATAAATGCATTATCTATCAACAATTGAATCTGAAAAACAAACTAGGGAAACAAGCAGAACTGAAACAGAATCACAGATATGGAGAACATTGGGATGGTGGCCAGTGGAGCGGGGTGTTTAGAGGAATGGGGTAAAAGGTTGAAGGGATTAAGAAGTACAAATTGGTAGGTACAGAATAGGCAGGAAGATGAGAAGAGCAAGTATAGGAAATGGAGTTGCCAAAGAATTTATAGGTATGACCCATGGACATGAACAAACGAGGGGAGATCACCAGAGGGATTAGGGGGGTACTGGAGGGAGGGGGGCAAAGAGTGAAAAACTGGGACCACTGTAATAGCATAATCAATAAAAAATACTTTAAAAAATTTGCTCTATATTAATCAACCAGTGTTTAAGAAAATTATTCTAAACAACAGTGCACATTCTCATGCCTTTTTACAACAGAATGAAATTAATTTATCATTAGTTTTGTTATTGTGAAGGGTCCAAATTTACCATATGATAAAAGGCTGATTTTCAGGGCTACTGGATGATAAGAAGTGTTTATGCTTCATTAAATACCTTCAGATTACTTCATTTATAGAGTATTTAGATTAGATTTAGTATTTAGAGTATGAGCTTTATCCTTAGGGCAATTAGGGCTATTGAAAAATTTCAAGAAGGGAAGGGAAGTGCTCATAAATGTGTTTTTAAAAGATGACTACAAGAACCATTTCATGTGTGGCAACACTGTTGGCAGAAATGTTGAGGGTCTGGAAACAGAAAGGGAAAGAAATTGTGCTGTAAAAAGACAGACTATCAGGGACATTATCATGTGCTCTCTTTTAGGTGATAAACCCAGGCATATTCTCCCTTTAAGAGTAGCTATAGAAAAAATTTATTTCTGGCCTCCATGCCAGGAAAAGCAATGCCTCTCCTCAGCTATAGATGTATGTTTGTCTCATGGGCCTGTCAATCTTATAAATAATTGCATTCTCCTCTTTGCTTTGGCCACTACGAAGCCCTATATGTGTAATAATTCTACACGCTAACTTTACTTTGATTCCATCTCAGATACGTAGTTTGATTTTGCCTAGAATTCCTTATTTATGATATCCTTTTAATTATTTGAATTTTCATAAGGAGCATCAAATTATTTTTGAAATGGAGTATGATAAAAGAATGATTTAAAAGTCTCAGCTTGAAAAATTAAAAAAATATGGATAATAAACATATATATGACACACCAAGTACTGATGAGTTGTGAACTCGCATGGGATAAGATAGAAAGGGTGATTAGGGAAGGCCTTTCTGATGAAATAACATTTAAGCAAAGACTGAAGGACGTGAGCCATTTAGGTATTAAGGGGGAAAGTACTCCAGGCAAAAAAATTGGCGTAAAGACTCTTGAGACAACAGTGAGCTTAATCTGTTTGAACAACACTGTAAGGCCAGTATGACTGAAGCAGGGTGAGCAAAAGGGGGAAACAGGAAATGAACATAGAGGAATGGCTAGAGGTTAGGTTAGGTACTGCAGCTGTCCAACAGAACTTGGCAATAACAGAAATGATCTCTATGGCAGGTGCTTGCCACATGTGGCTAGAATTATAGATTCTACATGAATTTTGTAGAATTTCAGATTCTACGATCTGAAATGTGGCTAGTATGATAGAGAAACTGAATTTTTAGTTTAATTTGCTTTTAACAAATGAGTCAAATTTAAATAGCTACATGTAGCCAGTGGCTACTGTATCAGTGCAAATGCAGGGCCCGGTAGGCTGTGGTAAGGACTGTGAACTCACTTTGAATAAGATGGGAAGCCACTAATGGATTTTTTGAAGGGAGAAATGATGTGATTTGATTTAGGTTTAAAGGATGATTGATGGTGCTATTTGCAAATAGACTATCAAGTGTTTGTGGGGAGGGGGTGGTACAAGAGTAGAATCGGGGTTAAGAGATGACAGTGTTTGGACTATAGTGGTGGCAGTTAGATGCAGAATATATTTTTATATACACACAATTTTTTATGTAGATGTCACTGGTTGAAATGTCAAACAAATGAAACAAACCTATAATATTCACATGCATAAATGTTTTCCCCAATGCTACCTGAATTGAGACTATAAATATTCAAGGTGTATGTCCCAGTTCCTTTCTATATAATCATTCAATGATGGTAGCATCTCTAAAATTTTATGAGATTTTTTTTCATTATCCAGACCTTTCTAAACTGTACATACAGTAAGAAGATCAGAAATGATTTAGACTCCAAATTCTTAGTAATACTTCATACTGTCTCATTATATTTTACTTTAATAAATTTAAAAAGGCAAATATAACATACTAACCTTAATAAAAATGGATCTTAACTGAAGAGCCACTAGCTTCTTTGAAGGCAATGAATATACTGCAAAGATGAAATCATACAATAGTTAAAATGAAGGGGTTATAGAAATAAAATTACTAACAACCTAAGTGCCCATCAGTAGACAAATGGATAAAAAAGTTGTAGTACATATATACGATGGAATATTACTTGGCCATAAAAAATGAATGAAATTTTACCATTTGCGACGACATGGATGAACCTACAGATTATAAGTGAAATAAGTCAGACACAGAAAGATAAATACTGTATTTCACTTATAAATAGATTTTAAAGAGCAAAATAAACTAGAAACAGACTCATAGGCAAAGAGAACAGACTGATGGTTGCCAGAGGGGAGAGGGTTGGGGGACTAGGTAAAAAAAGTGAAGAGATTAAGAACTACAAATTGGTAGTCACAAAACAGTCCCAGGGATGTAAACAGCATAGGGAATACAGTCAATAATATTATAGTAACTATGTATAGTGCCAAGTAGGTACTGGAAATACTGGGGGAAACACTTTGTAAAGTATATGATTAACCACTATGCTGTTTATCTGAAAGTACTAGAAAATAATATTGAATGTAAACTGTAACTGAAAAAAAATTAAATTATAGTAACTTTTGTGTCTAAATACTTTCAATAATTAAAATATAGAAGATGTGTGCTACATCATTTGGTTAAAGCAAAGCATTTTAGAAGTACCTTAAAAGGTATTTTTAGGCTTTATTCTATAGAACACATTCACTTCTAAAAAATTAACTGTAAGAAAATATCAAAAATTATTTTTCTTTTGACTTTGATTATAAGATCAAGGAAGTATTCCCTCAGAAATTTATAGTATTATCACAAATAAAATAATTCTTAAGAATGTTTTCAGTTTCTGCTACTCTCCCTTCTAGAGAACAGCAACACTCACCGGGGTTAACAGAATAAAATGAAGGAGAATGTTAACCATATAGTAAAGTTCCTGGAGTTAAGTACATTTGAGTTTTTGAAAGACCTGATGCAACACGCAAAAAATTCTGAGTCAGTGTGTGTGCTTTTCTGGAAAAAGGATCCATAACTTCCATCAGAATCTACAAAAGACCCACTTTATTAATGCCTAAAATATTCATGTCGACTTCATCTCCAGTAATGAAAACCTCTGATATTGGAGAAAACAAAAAAACAAAAAACCTCTGATATTAACCAAAGACAAAATACAGAGTTTCTAAGGACACATGATTAGGTCACTGTGCTAAGGGGTAAGCTTTCACTTACTATAAAAAGGATTATTAACAACCCTAGCCTTGGGCAAATCCTTTGGCAGATCATGTCTCTTCTGTTACAGGTCTTTTGGGGACTGTCTCATTGGACTGGTGTGGTATGTGGTGTGATTGGGGACTTGTAGCAAAAGTCTAGGAACCATTAGGAATGTTCAGAGCAAAGGCAGCTAAAGCAGGAAATTTAGGAATTAGGGAAAAGGGCATAAATTTAGGAAAAAGGGACTAACGCCTAGGACACTCAGGCCTGTAATTCATCTCTGACATACACATATAACTGCAATGCAACAGACCTACTGGGAAGAGGATGTATCTGTAGAAAGTGCGCAGGCTAGGCTTTAAGATTTAAGTTATGCTACCCTCCATACAACAGTACTTATGTTCTCCATTAGTTTATTACCCAATTCTTTTTTGTTAAGATCCTGTTTTCTTTTTTTCCCGTTTTCCTTCTGATACAATAGGAAAACAACATCGTCTTTAATGTATTCTGTAAAAAATTATTTAGCTTTTATCTGATCAAGCTTTAGACCTAATTTCAGTAACAGAAAATACAAAGACTAGAGGAACAAGGCAAATGACACCACGAGGAGTAATAAGACAAATGTAGGTGGGACATTCTATAGCAGCAGTCCCCAATCTTTTTGGCACCAGGGACCAGTTTCATGGAAGACAATTTTTCCATGGACCGGGGTGGGAGACAGGAGGCAGAGCTCAGGTGGTAATGCCAGCAGCATCAGGAGGAGGTAGGCTGGGGACCCCTGTTCTATAAGACAGTGGGTCCAATTTTCCTTCAGTAAATCTGTTTCATAAAGAAGGAAAAAGAGACCACTATTGAGTAAAAGATTTCAAAGACACAACAATCAGATGCACTTTGGGTCCAGGTTTGGGCAAATTATCTTTAAAGAACATTGTGGGGTAAAACTGGGCCAATTTGAATATGGATAGGGTATAGAAAGTTATTAAAAAACTGCCATGGCTCATTTTGTTAAATGTGATGGTATTTTAGCTATGTAAGAAAATGTCCTTAAAAGACAAGAGATGCATATTTGGGAGTGAAATGTCATGATGTCTATAATTTATTTCAAAATACTTCATCTTAAATAAAATAAAGTGGATTAAAAAACTGTATCCAATTGACATGCTGCAAATTTGTGTCAGTGGAAAACCAGTGGATCCTTCACTCTAATGCACTAGAGTGAAGGTCCATTAGCAGGGTGGTATGGTGCTTAAGATCTAGGTCTCAGGAGCCAGAGTACCTTAATTAGAGGCTCAGTTACATCAATTATTAATCATGTGACCCTAACTTCTCTGTGCAATGGTTTCCTCATCTATAAAACTACCTGTGGAGTATGTGTGATGATTAAATGAGTTAACACATTTAAATGTACAGAGTGTTCAGCTTATAGATAATAATAAATGATAATTATTGTCATTAGAAGTAGAGAAATTCTAGTTCTAACATAATAGTCCTTTATCCTTTAATCCTGCTGAAGTTGTGGCTGATCTGATACAAACTTTTTTCTTAAATATTGTTATATATATCAGTGCAAAGGTTCAAAGTCATAACTAGTTTGAACATTATGACTTAACATTAGTCATGTAAAGAACCATGCACCCGATATATGTAACAATATTTAAGAAAAGAGTTTGTATCTCTCAGATCAGTGGCGATCTCCAATGGGTTAAGGCAATAACTGAAATTCCATCTTGTATTAACAAAACCATTTTTCCTACAGGAATCTCAATATTAAAATTATTTTTTAAATGTATTTTATTGATTATGCTATTACAATTGTTCCATTCCCTACCCCTCTTATTCCCCTCCACCCTGCACACCACCCCCAACCCACATTCCCCTGCTTTAGTTCAAGTCCATGGATTGTACATATAAATTCTTTGGCTTCTACATTTCTATACTATTCTTACCCGCCCCACCAACTATTTTCTACATACCACTTATGCTACTTATTCTACCTTTTCTCCCCTCCCCATTCCACTACCCCTGCCAATTACCTTCCATGTGATCTCTTTTTGTGTTCTGTTCCAGTTCTAGTTGTTTGCTTAATTTGTTTTTATTTAAGGTTCAGTTAATGTGTTTGTTGTCATTTTACTATTCATATTTTTTATCTTCTTTTTCTTAGATAACTCCCTTTAACATTTCATGTAAGGGCTTGGTGATGATGAAGTTCTTTAACTTGACCTTATCTGGGAAGCACTTTATCTGCCCTTCCATTCCAAATGATAGTTTTGCTGGACAGAGTCATCTTGGATTTAGGTCCTTGCCTTTCATGACTTAAAACTCTTCTTCCCAGCCCCTCCTTGCCTGCAAAGTTTCTTTTGAGAAATCAGCTGTCTTATGAAAACTCCTATGTAGGTATCTGTCTCCTTTTCTCTTGCTGCTTTTAAGATTCTCTCCTTAACTTTAATCTTGGGTAACTTGATGATGATGTGCCTTGGTTTGTTCCTCTTTGGATCCAACTTCTTTGGGACTCTCTGAGCTTCCTGGGTTTCCTGAGAGTCTATTTCCTTTGCCAGATTGGGGAAGTTCTCCTTCATTATTTTTTTCAAGTAAGTTTTCAGTTTCTTGCTCTTCCTCTTCTCTTTCTGGCACCCCTATGATTTGGATGTTGGAACGTTTAAAATATGTTCTGGAGGTTCCTAAGCCTATCCTCATTTTTTTGAATTCTTGTTTCTTCATTCTGTTCTGGTTGAATGTTTCTTTATTCCTTCTGCTCCATGCCATTGATTTGAGTCCTGGTTTCCTTCCCATTACTGTTGGTTCCCTGTATATTTTGTTTTATTTCACTTTGGGTAGCCTTCATTTGTTCCTTCATTTTGCAACTGAGCTCAATCAGTTCTGTGAGCATCCTGACTACCAGTGTTTTAAACTGTTTATCTGACTGGTTGGCTATCTCTTCGCCACTTAGTTGTTTTTCTGGAGTTTTGATCTGTTCTTTCATTTAGGCCATTTTTTTTCTCTTGGCATTCCTGTTACAAAGTAAGGGGGCGGAACCTTAGGTATTCACCAGGGCGGGGCAACACACATCGTTGCCTTGTGACAATATAAGTGGGGAGGGGGGGTCTGAGAGGGTACAGTGCTGTTTGCTCAGCTCTCTGCCAGTTTTCAGTCACTTCCGCTGCTACCCACAATCAAATTGGGCCCTTCTGATGCTTTCAGGGTGGGTGGGTTTGTGTATGTTCTAGGTCCCTGTGGGTCTTTCCAACAAACTCCCCTGTGAGTCTGGGAGTTTCTCCCGCCGCTGCCTCAACCCCCACAAGTGTTTTTAGTCAGAAGCTCTGAAGCTTTATTTCCCAGTACTAGAACCTTGGGTTGCGCAGTCTGTCTCGGTTCCCAGTTGTTCCTCCCAGCTTATCTGCACGCAAATGTGGGACTGCCCAGTCTACAAGCCGCTGCTTTGCTGGGTCTACCAGCCAGCCGCCTTGTCTCAAGTCCTCTCCGCCTGGCTGCTCATCTTTGCCCTTCCTATCAGCCTGGATGAATGTTTCTTCTTTAACTTCTTGGTTGTCAGACTTCCATACAATTCGATTTTCTTTCAATTCTGGTTGTTTTTTGTTTTTAAATTTGTTGTTGTCCTTCTTTTGGTTGTGCGAGGAGGCACAGTGTATCTATCTATGCGTCCATCTTGGCTGGAAGTCCTAAAATTATTTCTTGCAAGTGTGTTTCATTATCATAAGCTGATGAGATGGTTAATAAGACTGACCAAAAAAAAAAAGCTTCATTTGTCTTTCAATCCACCAATGGTCTCCCACGGTCCTCTATCACCTCTTGACTTTGACCGCAAAATGGTCAAAGAGGACTGAGAGGCCAAAGAAAAGATACCCATCAACTGAAACAACTGGATGCTCCTGTGCTTCAGGATCAATAGCTTTTCTGTTACTCAGTGAAGTACCACATTATAAACAAACAGTGGCCAGTGCAATATAAACTGTGTTCCCTGATTAAATCTGATGCTCCAATGAGAAATTATGGAGATTTTGTGGTAGGGGAAAGGCCTATACCTACTAGCAGCATTAGGCAACTCAAGCTCTCTGAGCCTTATTGACATCATATTATTATGGATTCTATAATAATATGAGAGGATGACTGAGGGTTAGATGAGGTAGTACATAGTAAACACACAAGACTGAGCTCAGTGGAATTCTCTTTTCTCCTTTGCTGGTCTTATTGATGCTTACATGTGCCAGTTAGAACAGAAAATAAAACTGAGAATAAAAGGGAAAAGAAAACCCCAAGTTAAAAAAATATGAATCTCAAATTCTAATCAACAACACAAGTACAATCACATCTCTCACAGGAGTTGCCATTTAAAAAAAGCTAAGAACTAACACCAGGATATAAGAGAACTAGGATAATGTGACTAGGTCATCAATTCTGCACAAAGCTGGCACCAAGCAAATGTTTACAACAAAACAGTGTCTCACAGAATCTACTTTTAATTTAAAACAATTCTATCTTATAGTAGAATAAAATATGCCAGTCTTACATACCTTCAGCATTTATACTGAGTTCTGTTGAATTTTCTTCTGATGTTGCATATGGATTGTTTCCAACCATTGGCACAAGACAATCGGTATAGAAGTAACCAATCTTAGACATATTCAGTGTAGAAATAATTAGATCTATTGCAAGCTGGCCAACATTTCCAACGGATACTGCTGGCTGAAATCATTAAAAAATATTCATTAAAGCACCAAGGTTAGCAACACTTTTAAAAAATATTTTAAAAGTTCATTTTAGAGAGAGGAAAGGAGGGGGAGAGGGAGGGAAGGAGGTAGAGAGGGGAAGGGAGGGAGGGAAGGAGGTGGAAGGGTGGGAGGGAGAGAGAGAAAGAAACACTGATTTTTGTTTTTCCACTTTTCTATACATTCTTTGGTTGGTCTTGTGTGCGCCCTAATCAAGGTCAAACACGTAACCTTGGCATATCAGGAGGAGACTAACCAATTAAGTAACTCAGCCAGGGCCTATTAGCAGCACTTTTAGAAGTCTAGACAGAAGACAATCACAGCACTAGTATTGAATATTTAGGCTCAGATGTATCATAGCTACATATTCTTTCCTTAATTGCAAATGAGGTGTCAGCAGGGGGCCTCCACCACCTTTGAGACTATTGATTTAACATTTACTGAACACCTACTTTATGTCAATCATTCCTCTAGGTACTGGGAATGCACTAAAACAAATAAACCAAAGTTCCTGCCCTGGTGGAGCTTCTATTGTAGTGGGAAAGTAGTTTACCTGTAATAAAATAAATATAGTATAGTGGTAAGTGCCATGGACAAAAATTACGTGATTGTGAGTTTGTGTATGTTTGTTTAGCTGCAATTTTAAGTAAGTTGGTAAAGGAAAGAATCACTTCAGGTAACAAGAAACTATAGACCTGAAAGAGGTCAGGAAGAGAGCCACACAAAGACCAGGAACAGAATATTTCAGGCAATGGGAAAGCAAGTGTAAAGGCTGTGAGGTATGAACTAAAATGCCTTTAGGTCTTCTGTTTGCTTTGTTAGTGAATGAAGTTTAGAGTGAGTTAATTTTCACATTAAAACTACGCACATACTCTTATCCCCATGACTGCAAATAGTGCAACTGCCAAATCTCTAGCTACAGCCTGGAACACTTACCTGAACTCCAGAGCCTAATGGACATCTCCCCACAGTTATGTCACAGGTAACTCACATTCAACATGTACAATATTAAACTTTTGCCCAAACTTGTCCCCATTTTTTGTATTTCAGAAAAGAGCAATAATTAAACAATTATTTAAACCAGGAAACTTCTTCCCTTTTCTTTACCAACTACATCTAACACATGACTAATTTTTATTGATTCTTCTTTTTTTTTTGCCTTCTTATTTTTCTGGGTTCTTCATAGTGGTCTCCCACTTTTCATTGCTTCATCGATTAATCCTCTGGTTATCTCTTATAATTCCCTTTCCTCTTCCCAAAGACTTTGCTACTTTGGTTAGACCCTCACTCTTCCTGTACCATCCATCTTTTCCTCACTACTGAATTGTTCCCATCAACATATACATATGCTCTAATAGCTTTCCTTCTAAATAACTATCCTTTGATCCCACACAGGCCCCTAGCTACTACCTCACTTCTAGGGTGTCCCTCCACAGCCCAAATCCCCCATAGTTGTCCACTAAAACACTGACAGGAATTTTGTTTCTTCTCCCATTTATTCAACCCACTCTAATGTGACTTCCCTCTTCACCACTCCACTGGTAAATTGTTAAGGTTACCACCAATAATCTTTTTGACATTACTTTCTCTATAATGCTTTCCTTTCTTTTTTCTGCCAGGTATCTCCTGGTTAAGACACTTTTTCCCTTTTGTAATTAATATTTTTCAGGGAGTTACTTTGAAATTATGTAAAATTTCCTTCCTCAGAACATTATCACACACTAATTTAGCATTCATTGATATTCCCTGCATTCATTATAATGAAAATTGCCAGAAAGTTTTCTGTTACCATCACTTAAAAAAAAAGATTTTATTTATTTTTAGAGGGGAAGGGAGGGAGAAAGAGAGGGAGGGAAACATCAATGTGTGGTTGCCTCCTGTCTCTCCCAACCAATACCTGGCCCCCAACTCACGCATGTGCCCTGACTGGGAATCCGACCAGCAACCCCTTAGTTCACACACTAGCCCTCAATCTACTGAGCCACACCAGGCAGGCCTGTTACCATCACTTTTTTAATTGACGCTTAACATATTAGTTTTAGATACACAACATAATGATTGATATATGCATACAGGGGTGGGCAAAAGTATGGTCACAGTTGTAATACATATATAATACAATAATAAATAATAGTATAAGAGAAAGCTGTTAAAGTGCACTCACAACTGTAAATCTACTTTTGCCCATATCATATATTGTGAAATGATTACCAAATGTTTAGTTTTAAGATTCATCACCATAGTTACAATTTTTTCCTTGTGATGAGAACGTTTAATATGTACTTTCTTAGCAATTTTCAAATATACAATACTGTTAACTAGTTACCATGCTGTACATTACATATCAAGGACTGACTTATAACTGAAGGTTTGTCCCTTTTGACTACCTTTGCGCCACCCACCCCTCCACGTTCTTTGCAGCTATGAGTTTGGTGGGGTTTTTTTCTTTTCCTTTTTTTTAAGGTTCCACATACGAAGCTTTTCCTAACAGGTCTTTGTATCCTTCACCCTTCCAATAAGTCCTAGAGCCTTTCTGTATCTTTTTACAACTTCTGTCCTAGCATTTATTGCTTTTATTAGTTTGTTTACAACTATACTGTAAAACTCATTGAAGACAAGGACCTACTCTTATTCTTTTATTTTCACACAACAAAATATTTACTGAAACAATGAATAGCCATGGGTAATTGTGTTAGCTACTGGCAAAAATTGCTCTTACTACCCTAAGGGGAGTTTTTTTTGGCGAATGAATGATTCTAAAACTAGTTGAAAAACGATTTTCCAGGATAAAATGTAAAGTGAATGTCCTGCAAAACGTACGTACAACGTCACCTACAATATCCAAACACATTACGTTGTACAGTTTAACAAACGCTACATACTGCAGACTTAGAGGCAAGGTTTGGTGATAACGCCAACAAAGGTTCTATTTGGACTGCTGCCTCCAGGGACAACCTCCCTTCACTTCAGCCCAGGCTGAAACCCTAAAACAAGTACTCTCCTCCCAGGGCCGGGTGGAACACCCGGATTCGGGGTGGCGACACAGTGGGCGCCGTTCGAGCGCCCTAAGTTCAGCTGTGGACAGTTTGCAAAACCCTGGACTCACCATCAAGAGGGTGAAACCCGCGAGGTCGGAGACCGATTCTCCGCAGGGAACAAACATGGTCGCACTGAAATGGGAAGAAGGTAAGCCCTGGCCTGGCAGGAACGAGGTGAGAAAGCCAAAAATTGCCGGTTCCGACAACCTAGGAGACCTCGAGTCCCCACAGCCTTGCGCGACGCAGGCGCGGTGTGACCTGACGGAAGGGGTCCTTCGAGTTCTTCGGCATGAGGTCCTGAGGAACCTGTCTAGCTATCTGCCTCTCCGGAGGGTAGAAAGATCTGGCGAGGAAGGGAGATATGGGGGCGGATAGCGTATCCGAAGACATTGACAATGGATTGGGGGGCGCTGGAGTCGCTGAGTTGGGACCCCGACAGAGGGAGAGTGGCAGGTGGAGGTGATCAGGCAGGGCTGGGGACAGCCCCGAGGCCTCGTCCACCGTCGTTTCAAAAGAACAGTTGGGCGCCGCGGCTGCTGCGGTCGCGGTTCCTTCTGGGTCCCATCCCTGACGCGGCGCTGCGTCCCTAGGGAGCCGAACTAGGCTAGCGGTCGCGCAGGCTTTATGCTCAGCAGCGACTAACGCTCCCGGGCGGGCCGGCCGCGCGGTTGGGGCACTGAAGCGGAGAGAATAGGCGGTGAGGCGCCGGCCCCAGCATGTCGTTGCCTCCAGAGAAAGCCTCCGAGCTGAAGCAGCTCATCCACCAGCAGCTGAGCAAGGTGAGGGGCCGCGGGCGCTCTTCTACCCGCCCTGTGGCCCGGAGTGTCCAGTCTGTGTCCTTTCTCCCGGCCGGCCATGGCACGTGCTTGCCCGGGACTCGAACAAAGGCTAAGATAATGCCGAGAGCGGGATGGGCAAAGCTTCGGGTTTGAAGCCAGAGGGACTTACCAGCTTATATAAAAGAACAAGCCCAGAAGAAAGTGCTAGTAAGAGTCTGAGGTGATAGAACGGCGGTATTATTATAGGACAGTTGTGGAAATGTAGCATTTATCCAGCGATTTCTGGATGTCAGATGAGTGTAGGTTGTGTTTGGAGCAGGTTTATATTCAGAGGTCGGGAAATGGAATTACTTTAATGGTGAAACTTGGGATGTCATTGATGTTCAACCAAGAAGTCATGCAAGAAATTATGAAAAGATTTGTAATGAAAATATTTGTGATACGTAAGAGCTCAAGAAGAACATTGTGCTTTTGAGGTTCTCAATGAAATGCATTAAGATGAAGTAATAAAAGCTACTGTTTATTGTGTACTTGTATGTCAGGCTTTGTATTGTTTAGCATCTTGACAGGGCACTCCTTTTTCCACATTCATAAAGGGAAAATAAGTCTAGGTGACATCTAATACTTTGAAAGCTGAAGTTCACACTTTGATCGTAGCCTATAGGTCTGTGCTCTTTTGATACTATACTCTCTCAAAAGATTACTTTGGTTGTTGTTTGTGGGGAAATTGTAACAAAGGTATACGTACTAGTAGGAATTATTTCTAGAATTTGTACTAGAAGTTTTTTTATCTTAAATTTTATTGTTTTTTTCTTTTAAAAAGCTACCTTTATTTTTTATTTGAATTCTGATAACAATTTTACATTTACTGTTAGCTGGAGAAGCCTTCCTGAATTGAGTCTATGTACTCTGCCATTGTTTTTTTGGTCAGTGTTTTGGAAAGAAATTTACCAAGGGCAGTATTTGACTAAACTGTAATTGTAAGTTGTAATGCAAGTTTTCTACATAGATGGACGTCCATGGCAGAATAAGAGAAATTCTTGCGGAGACAATACGGGAAGAATTAGCTCCTGATCAACAACAATTATCATCAGAAGATTTGATCAAAGCTCTTAGACGTCGGGGAATCATTGATGATGTGATGAAAGAACTTAATTTTGTTACTGTGAGTAACCCTTTAGGGAGAAAAATTTTAAAGTATAAATATATTTGGGGGGCCTCTCCTTTCAGTAAAACCACTTTAAAGACCATTTTGTCTAGTAATACCTGTGTTTAAAGTACAAGCTAATGTAACAAGTAGGATTATGTGTCATTGAAATTGGAGTTCTATACATTTCTCTCTACAGTGACAAAATTTTTCTCTTGTTATTTATCCTCCAGGTCTGTAACTTTAAGTATATATTTTAGTGAAATTAGTTCCTCATAACCTAGTTCATTTTTAGTAATATTGTTCTATAATTTTTTAAGATTAGTCTTATTTTTAAAATAAACACTTTTGGGACAATATTCTCTATGATTAAGAAATTATCAATTTAAGAAAATAACTGCATAAGGACCTTCCAATCTTTTCATAGAAATAGGTCAATGGTGGAATGAGTGCACAAATTAGTAAGTAGGCCTCCTTTTGAAAATGAGGCAATAATGAGAAACTGTGACCTCAATACTAGGTAGTATAATGTAAAAATTGGATGGACTTCATAAAACACCAGGGAATAAGTATTTTAATACAGTACCCTTTTTTGGTTTTTGAGGTTTGTAAACCCAAATTGTAAAAATTGACCTAATAACAGCTTTTGCTGTGTGAATGTTACTTCCTTATTAAAAATCAGTTCATGGTGAAAGATAAGCCAAATGTTATATAAGGTTTAAAGAAAGTTTAACCTTATTTCAGGTATTAGGGATTTGTTTTTTAGCATTCTATGTACATTGCTTTAAGACAGTTTTATTTCTTAATGTTAGACTTGAGGAATAATCAGTTGCATCACCTCTTTTGTAGGCTTTTCATTATTTTATGCGAAGAAAATAGGGGTCTTTTGAGGGGGCTTTATCCTATTTACTTTTGGTTCAGTGCTTAGTCCCATTATTGGCATTTTCTTACTTAACTATAATTTTTGTTTTCTAATTTTTTTGATTTTCTTTCTGCCTTTCCAGGACAATGTTGATCAAGAACTCCCTCCCTCTCCAAAACAATCAGTTTGTTTTGCTGATAGACAATCAACGTTGTTAAAAAAAAGTATGTTTTTTTTTCCAACATTAATTTAGTTGTGGATAGTACTGTGGATAGATGTGCTATAGTGTTTGGTATTTGATAGAAAACATTTCAATTCCGCCCCCCAGAATGAAATACTTAGGTTTTTGTGAATAATCATCCAAAGAACTGAGATTCTCTTTTACATGAAGTATATATGAGAAGATTTAACATATAGCACAGTGGAAGCAAAAACAAGACCACCTATTTCTTGTGTTTTAATAATATATTTTATAAAAATTGTTTAGCCTTGTTTTTTTAATGTAATGTAATTATCTCAAAATACTTTGCTGAGTCAAGATTATTGTCTGAGTTGATCTGTGGAGGTGAAGGAATGTTAAATAAGCTACTAACAGTAAAGGTATCCCAAACCTTGGCTCTGACTCTTTTCTAGCTGGAGAAAGTAGACAGAATGTAAACTCAGAAAAAAGTATCGTGTTATGTATCTTTTTTCCCCAGGTGCAAATGGTCCTGGTATATAGTAATTGTGTTACTTTTTTTATTTTTTCCCTAGTCTTTAGTTTTATCAAATATTTCTGTCAAATTATTATTTCCTATTGTCTTGATCACATTCCTTAAGTTATTTGGCAGTTTCCTCATATATATTGCTACACTTTACAGCTAATATTGATCCAACACGGAGGTATCTTTACCTTCAGGTTTTGGGTGGAAAAGCTTTCTTGGAACATCTGCAAGAACCTGAGCCTTTACCAGGACAAGTTTGTTCAACCTTTACTTTATGTTTGCATTTTCGAAACCAACGTTTTCGTTCTAAACCTGTTCCATGTGCCTGTGAACCAGATTTTCATGATGGCTTTTTACTTGAAGTACACAGAGAAAGCTTAGGTAAGGAGCAATAATGAATTGTCATTTAATTGAGTAAATCTTTGTGATGTTTTATTATATAGAAAACAATAACTTTTGCTGTAAGGAGAGATTTATAATGGATGAATCTTCCTCCCTATCCTTTTGTTTTATGTTTTCCCCACTGCTCCTTTCTATATAAACTGCTTCCAACCACCTTCTTGGTTTGTTTTCTGCTGATTAATTTTCCCTGAAGATTACTTTTTGACTGTTTTAATGGTTGACTGTTTACTGATAATTATTTAAATACATACTAGGTACGTGGTGCTATGCTAGGTAAGTCCTGGGGATATAATGGAGAATGAGACATGATCCTTCTCATTTATGAAAGATGACTATATTTATGATATGATACAACTTTTGAAAATCAAAGTTTAAGTGTGAATCTGTTACTCATTTTTGGAACTTTAAAATTATGATAAGTGATTCCTGTAATTGTGTTTTACTGTTCCTTCCTATAAAGGTATTTTGTACATTTTTGTCAATGTAGAAATTTTTATAATATTTGTAAACTTAGCAGAGTTGTAGAATTATACTTTCAGAATTTTAGTACTGCTAAATGTAGTACTACTAAATGGCTTAAATTGCTAGCTCCAAGGTGCTAGATCTTTCAGTTTTTGGTAGATAGTACAGTTATTATTTCCGGAGTTTTAGTCATAAAAGTAGTTTGGGAATTAATGTTGACATATTTGAATTATTGTAGTAGCTTATAGTTTAGTTAAGTGCTTTTAATGAGTAGATACCTCTTAAGAGATCAGAAAACACTGATATGCATTAATTAACAAAATAACTCATCACATTTCTTCTAGTACTCTTAAAAGCTGTGAGAAATTGGACTGTACTTTTATTCCCAGTTTATCACACATTCTCTGAGACATTACCAGGTTATTCTATTTGTTTTTATAAAGGTTATTAATAGTTTTCAATAAAGTATTTTATTTTGGCCTAACTAAATATGTAATGTGATGTTATTTTTTTTGTTTGTTTCTATATTTAGGTGATGGGACTAGAATGGCTGATTCTACAACAATGTTATCAATAAGTGATCCAATTCATATGGTGCTAATCAAAACAGATATATTTGGTGAGACTACTTTAGTAGCATCCTATTTTCTTGAATGGCGATCAGTTTTGGGCTCAGAAAATGGAGTGACTAATCTTACTGTGGAACTTATGGGTGTAGGTATGATGATTAATATCACTTATATTTTTATAGCCCCAGTTTGTTTGTAAATATACTTTATATTTTTAAAATGCTTTTATAAACCAAGAGCCAAAAATGTTGAATTTCTTTAGAATTACAACTGGACTCCAGTGTTGTAGTCCTGGGAAATGTCTTGAAGAATAGTATGAGTGCAGAA